TGTTTTGATTTGCAATAGAATGTGTAGTGTTCCCAATGCATTTGTGTGTATGGAAATAAAAGCTATTAGAAGGATTTTGAGCTTTATTCACTTTTTTCAACACACTGCTATTATTTTGAACACAACTGTATATAACACACTAGGGCCTTGTTTACACAGACTTGCATTTTACTGTACTGGAAGAACATAGGTTGCTGCAAGGAGACATAGAAAAGAACTGTTTTTCTATGTGTCCTGTTCACACCACCACGCTGGTGCTATGTGCAGTGTGGCGCATTGCGTTAAAATGCTACCCCACATCCAACTGCTATCTAGATCTTGCAGGCTCCACCTCCGCAACATCTCCAAGATACGCACATTCCTCACCCCAGACACCACCAAACAACTCGTACACTCCCTCATCATCTCACGCCTGGACTATTGCAATTCCCTTCTCACTGGCCTACCCAAACGAAAGCTATCCCCACTCCAGTCGATCCTAAACTCAGCCGCTAGACTCATCCACCTCACCCCTCTGCCAATCCCTTCATTGGCTCCTGATTGCCCAACGCATCAAATTCAAACTGCTAACTCTGACCTACAAAGCCATTCACAATGCCGCCCCGAACTACATAACTGACCTGATACCCAAATACTACTCTACCCGTGCCCTCCGCTCCTCACAGGACCTCCTACTCTCTATCTCCCTGGTCTCCTCCTCCCACGCCCGATTGCAGGACTTCCCTCATCCTCTGGAACTCCCTACCCCAATCCATCAGACTGTCACCTACCCTCCTCACCTTCAGGCGCACCCTGAAAACCCTCCTCTTCAGGGAAGCCTACCCCGACCTCATCTAACACCCGACCTCACCTAACTACTAACCTCCTCCACTCCTCCCACCACTCCATCCCCCACAGCCATCTCCTCCTGTACCACCTTCCCCTCCCTCCTAGATTGTAAGCTCGAAAGAGCAGGGCCCTCAAACCCCTCGTGTAGTGTATTGTTACTGTCTTGTCTCATGTTCTGTCCCCCTTGCTACTGTACAGCGCTGAGCATACCCTTTGGCACCATATAAATACTGTATATAATAATAATAAATAATAATAAATGTATTTTAATGCGATGCAATGCACAACACAATACAAACCTACTGAAAGAAAAAAAAAAATCATTTTACTTTATTCCTCCTAAAGAAGCCATAGTAAATAAACACGCATACAACGCATGTCAATGCACATAAAAATGCATGCCAATGGAAGGCAACACACATTCTTTAAAATGCATGAAAATGCTTCAAATATGGATAAGTAAACATAACATTTCATATTCCTAATGTGCCTACTGTACCATGTACTTGTATGAAAATGTATTCTGTTCTCATTGTATTGCTTCTTTTGTGTGAAATCCCTGGTGTTCTTGCCTGTCCCTCTGCTCTTCTAATAAAAACTGGCTACACCAAGCAGGAGATCACACCGTGGTCAGTCCTCTAGCTATGCTGGGAACTCAGTCTGTTGTCCACCAATGATCATACTTCTGCCGACATCACCTCTTCCACAGGTTTTCACTGGGAAGATCGGTATTCTGTTGTTTCTCTTCCCCTAGCTCTTATGAGGATGAGAACAGAGGGAATAAGATAATTTATAAAAACTGGGAAAAAAGGTATTTAAAATGTTTTTATATGTATATACAGATGTTTTGCCTTTCCTTTATATTTTAAACTGAATGGGTTGTTTACAAGGTGAGGGTTTCCAATCACTTTAATGCATTTGTATGTGTGAACAGGCTCAAAGATCATTTGTTTTCGAAAGAATGGGGATGTGTTAAAACCGCTCAGTTTTTTTTTTGGCTGCTGTGGAGATTTTGCCTCAGTTCCTGTGCATGAGGAGAGTGGTCATTGGGACAAGCAAGTAAGGCAAGATATCTCTAGTAGGTACACATATAAGACAGGAGAAATCTCAACAGGGATGCAGAGTAAAATAAATACCCGACAGAGGGCCTAACCATTCCTTGCTATAACCAACACAAAAAAGTTGTAAGGGGTACTCCACTTTAAATTCAATGAAGAAACATGGGAACTACAAGGGAGGAGCTGCTCAATGACATGAAGAGAGCTGGGACCACAGTTTCTACGCCGTCATAGTTTCAAATCATGCAAAAGTTCCCCTGCTCAAGTCATCACATGTCCAGGCCCGTCTGAAGTTTGCCAATGACCATCTGGATGATCCAGAGGAGGCATGGGAGAAAGTCATGTGGTCAGTTGAGATCAAAGCAGAACTTTTTGGTCTAAACTTCACTCGTCGTGTTTGGAGGAAAAAGAAGGATGAGTTGCATCCCAAGAACGCCATCCCTACTGTGAAGCATGGGGGTGGTAACATCATGCTTTGGGAGTGCTTTTCTGTGAAGGGGACAAGACGACTGCACTGTATTAAGGAGAGGATGAATGGGGCCATTTATTGTGAGATTTTGCGCAACAACCTCCTTCCCTCAGTCAGAGCATTGAAGATGGGTTATGGCTGGGTCTTCCAACATGACAACGACCCGAAGCACACAGCCAGGATAACCAAGGAGTGGCTCCGTAAGAAGCATATCAAGGTTCTGGAGTGGCCTAGCCAGTCTCCAGACCTAAATCCAATAGAACATCTTTGGAGGGAGCTGAAACTCCGTGTTGCTCAGCGACAGCCCCGAAACCTGACAGATCTAGAGGAGATCTGTGTGAAGGAGTGGGCCAAAATCCCTGTTGCAGTGTGTGCAAACCCGGTCAAGAACTACAGGAAACGTTTGACCTCTGTAATTGCAAACAAAGGCTTCTGTACTAAATATTAACACTGATTTTCTCAGGTGTTCAAATACTTATGTTCAGCAGTGCAAGACAAATAAATTCTTTAAAAATCATACAATGTGATTTCCTGAATTTTTTTTCTAAATTCTGTCTCTCAGAGTGGGAATGCGCCTACAATGTGAATTTCAGACCCCTCCATGATTTCTAAGTGGGATAACTTGCAAAATCGCAGGGTGTTCAAATACTTCTGTTCCTCACTGTATGTAACACATAAAAACACTTACCTGCCACTTCCCTTAATTACTCTAGTTTATATAGAGAAAAGTAAAACCTATAAACTTTTGTATGTGTTGCAAACTTCTACATCAAATAACTATTTTAACCAAAGACAAATTTGGAGCTATATATGAAAGCATTTTAAAACTGACAATACTGTCGCTAAGATTAGACCATGCAATCCCTAACCCTTTTTTAACCCAAACTTAGCATCATTTGACTTCTACTACGCTGGAAAGCAAAGGTAATGGGAAAAGCATTCTGCATATCTTCATGCCAGTCCAGGAGGAAGTGTGGTACTTGTCATCCATCATAGGATGTATATTACAAATCAGGGACACAGACAGTTGGGGCACACCAACCTATACAAGTTCAACCACCTGTATAAGCAAGAAAAAGGGGTCACAGACTACATCAAAATACCAAGGGAACAAACAGACCATAAGTGTTTTTTCAGCCCACGCGCTGAGGCTCTTTAAAAATGACCAAAACTTGTCAGTAGGGAGAATAGAAACCCCCATTCAGGAGCAAATGGAGAGCTTATCATATGTTTTCGTGTAAGAAGGAGGCCAAGTCACCATATTACACCTTGAGGATAGAACTGACCTGGCAGATGTGCCAATAATACTGACTGGTGTGATGATAAAATACTGCTGTGAAGCTAGAGATCAAAGACACATTCAGCTTGGCATGCATGTTATAAATTTATAGGATTGTTTTTTTTTTCCTAGACTGGCAAGGGTATTATGGACATCAGACAGATGGATGGCTTCTATTTGACAACACATTTGAACTGTCAATATATTTATCATTTTTTGTTTTGCCTTCCAAAACAGAAGTTAAAATAAGGCAGTATCAAGCTCTGTATAAAGAATAAGTTCACCTTTCATAACATATTACACCCATATTCAGGGTGTAACATGTTAAAATGTTACTAAATGAGCAGCCCTGTAATTCAGTAACTGCCTGCTTGTATAAGGTAAGAGCAAACAGCTACACTGACAGTATGCAGGAGCCTTTACAGGGCCCTAATAAAAACAAAAAAATAATAATAATAAATGCACATTTTTTTACCTGCAAAAAAAATACTTTTGTTTTTTTTAAAAGTTGAACTTATCCTATGGCTATAAAAGCAATATCTGTGAAAAAGGCTTCTCTCCACCCTCCACTAGCATACCCGTTTCATCACCCAAGCCAGAAAAATTCCCCAAAAAATCAACTCCCTCAGGAATAAATGAAGTATATCCATCATCTAATGACACTAGCATAAAACTGAGGATAACTGGCAGCGGAAGGGCTTATATGGGAATCCTGAGTTTTTTGTTTGACAGTGTCCAATCACCTTAGCAATAATTAACCCAGTGATTCAAGACTATGCTGTATAGACAGATAAATCGGTTAGTGTATGGCTAGCTTTAGATTGCGGCAAGACTGAAGCTGAAATTTCAGATAACCTCAGAAAACCTGAGAATTTGCAAGAAAGACTTAGAACAATAATGCATACCTGTTTAACCTATGATCAGCAAGTGATACTTTGTAATAACTTTTTTTTGGTAAATACTGCAATATATAGTTTGCAGGTGTTCTTTAGGTTCTGTTTTTGCTGTGCATGTGCATCAGCAAACATATTCATGTAAACTATTAGATGACATGATGTCAGATGTGTGCTGTCGCAGGGCTAGCTGTAACCCAATCTGCGCAACAGCAGAGTTATACCATTTATGGGCCGAACTCCATGTCCAGGAAGAAGAGGCCTAGCACTGAAACACTGGCAAAGATGGCCCTGGAGTTGTGGATTAACAGTTACAAGGAAAAGGTCCATCTTAAGCAGGGCTCCATTACTGTTCACTGAATTTCACTTGTTCTCTAATCTACATAGGCCTGCATTGTTTAGGGGCACACAAAACAGCTCCTTAGAAAACTGAGGAAAAAAAAAAAACAAATCTGTAAGGCTAAGATACATACCATTTACATTCATGGAAGGCAAAATGATGGACATTTTTGGCCTGGTGGTCTTATTTCGGTTGGTGGCTGGCAACAGCAAATGGTCCTGCAAAATATGTTAGATTTAAAAATATTTTTAAAAAATAACAAAAGTTAGGTCATAAAAAATTTAATTATTTTAAAGTCGATCCTAAAGTTTATACTCGTGTCAATACTCACATCAACCTATATAAATTTACTACCAATGTATGTTAAATAATAATATAATTTTGCCTCTAAAAAGAAGTTTTAAAGGTGTCTAGAAATGAAGCAAATAAAAAAAAAAATTACCATAGTATTTTAAAAAAATATGCAGATACACTACTGTAAAAGAGAAGGATTTGCTAATTCACCATTAAAACATAATCTGAACGTGTAGTCTCAGTGTGGTGATAAAATGTCCTTTAGGGTCCCCTAAAACTTCATGCTAAGATATGAAATGAACCAATTAACTATATGTCCAGTTTTTGTATACATTTACCATGCAATGTACTGTTGTAAAGTGCTCAGATACACAAAAGTTCCTAATATTTTTCTGTCTTAAGCATCAAGTTGGGAATAGAAGGGCAGTGCTGATATTCTAACACTGCAAGCTTGCTGTTGGGAACCAGAAAGCAGAGTGATGACTATATTAGAGCACTGCTGCACCTTCACTGTCAAATCAGCACACTGGGGAAGAATGTTGCCATTCACGTATTGCCTAACTGCAGTAGAAAGAAAAAAAAAAAAACAACTTGCTAGCCTAGCTGTGCAGTATGCCAGGGGTACCTGGATTTTATGACTGGTTGAATAAAGTTACAAATACTTCGGTAGATAGGCCAATTCAAAAAGACACATTTCCAAGGTATATTTATCATTTTGCTCAGTGGTCACCTTCAAAATGTTTTTATTGTGTGAATAGCTACAGAGTTACATTATATAGCTACAGGGTTCTATTATTTGATATTGTCACCTACACTCAGACATATGAATGTTTTTTTTTCCCATTTTGGATGTACAAGCGTTAGAAGCACCTGTTTAGTTATTGCTGCCCCCTTTTGTGAAATTTACACTCAGTTTCAGTCACACGGAGTCTAGGCTTGTGACATCATCTTGGTTTCTGTATACGAATGAATGGAGCCATAGCAGACCCAAGTAAGCTGTTGGAGATATTGTGGCTGGATCACCACGGGACACATTTGACCTTGCTGTCTTTCCATCTGTCTGGAGCCCTATCAAAACTGAATTTCCATTGGGGATATTGTGGCTGGATCACAGCAACGTGCAACTGATATCTGTTTATTGATATCTCTCCATCTGGTAAGGAGTAAGTACTGGTATCATTCACTTGGAGAGCATTTATCATTCAGACTGATTCACAGTTTGATACTGGGAAAACACACACACACACACACTTTGCACCTAATTTCATTAATACGTTGTTGCATCTACATTAGTATGAATACAGTGAGAAGTAGGTTTTGAGATCTAGTATTCAGATATTCAATGTTACTGTTGTCACATATCTTTAATTTGTACACTAAGTGCAGAGAATTTGTGTTTTGTTTTGCACAAAATCAGTTTACTGCTGTTTCTCCACCCCTAACAAATATATTAATTTCTGAAGAGGCAATATAGGTATTTTAAAAGGAAACTTATTGTGTTCCCTTTATATCTTCTTGCTCAATCCCCTATAAATAAGTTAAAAAGGTGTATTATCATTTCTTTTTAGGTAAAGGTGAAAGATTGCCAATTGAGATTTCACATTTACATTACCTCCAACTAGACAATATCTAGACACTTTCATGCTCCTTTGCTTAGTGAGAGAGCCGTCATAGAAACAGAGATGTTGTCACCAGTGACACGGAACAAAAACGAGAAGCGCACAAACCTTGCGCATTACCTCAGTAAACAAAAATTTATTAATAAGAAAGGTACTCACAAACAGCGAATAAAATCAGGCATATAAGTCCTCACAGGGACTTCAAAGATAAGGAGCCAGCGCGAGTCCCATCGTGGGATTATTATAAATATTATTTATTTCTTATTCTTTCTCTTGCATGTTTATCACCATCATTAATATTATTATCATCGTTTTAAATTATATTTATTTATATATATGTGTATCATGATTTATCTGTGTTTTGATGGTTTGACAATTAGATATTACACTTTGTTGACACCTTGGCCCCTCCTCCAGCCTGTGACTGCCCAACCCAGAGGGGAGGGTCAATATTTCAGTCCTGGGACATAAATGGGAGCGATCACTCTCAGTCCAGTCAGCTCTGATGAAGGTGGTTTGGCCTTCGAAACGCGTCAGATGAACTGAGTGTCTACCCCCACGATGGGACTCGCGCTGGCTCCTTATCTTTGAAGTCCCTGTGAGGACTTGCATGCCTGATTTTATTCGCTGTTTGTGAGTACCTTTCTTATTAATAAATTTTGGTTTACTGAGGTAATGCGCAAGGTTTGTGCGCTTCTTGTTTTTGTTTCGCTTTGTAGTGTTGGTCGGGCTTCCCCAGCCTTATTTGGAGCTGCACAACCTTTGATGCACTGGTGGTCGCTTTTTTCTATTTGCCACCCGCCTGGGTCCTAGAGCGCAGAAGAAATCGTGTTTGGTCTACCAGTGACACGGATGCAAGTGTGACATAGCCACAAGTATAGCCAGCTTGGGTTTGTAAACAAAGACTCACTTCTGACCAATAAGGCTGACCATCATATTACTGGGCCAATACTGAGGGTTAGGACACAGGACGTGCCATCACCAGACTGCTGATCCAATCAACCCAGAACTACCAATACCCTGGCATTCTGGGCACAGAGGGCGCTTAAACTGAAAAGACATCTAATGTTCAAGCACCTGGAGCTTCCCGCCATGTGCTGACAGTGCTGAATACTTTGGGGGAAATTTACTAAAACTGGTGCACACAGAACCTGGAGCAAATGTATATAGTAATCAATCAGCTTCCAGGTTTTATTTTCAAAGCATCCTTGAACAACCTGCAGTTAGAAGCTGATTGGTTACTATGCACAGCTGGACCAGATTCTGTGTGCTCCAGTTTTAGTAAATCTCCCCCAGTATGTCTCTCTTCATTCTTGCTTTCATCTTAGCTTGTAAATTCTACTCCAAAAAGTTAAAAATCAATAAGCAATTATAAATACGTATGGGTAGTATTACACATGGTAATAGGCCAATGATTAGTTACAGCTGGGGGTTTATATCAGAACTTCAAACATCTTTGGAGAAATGGTAATATTTATATGATTTATATTTGCATGTTCTACGGAAACTTACCCTACGGAAAGACACAATATAAAATGTGTCACCCCTCCTGCGGATGGTTTCCAAAAAGTCTTGGTAGCTCCTTGGAGAGGAATAATAAATCTGCAGCTCATTTGAGTTCCTAAAAACAAAAGCAAGAAAAAGGGTAAAAATATTTGCACTGTATACTATTTATATAGTAACTAGATACTATAGTAATATATAACTATTTATATAGTAACACAAAAACACACATTCATCAATGTTTAAAAATAGATCGGCTGACTTTACATGAAATTTCTTTTTTAGAAAATAAATTACTGCACAAACTTAATTGTAATACCAGTGTCTCAGCAACAGTTATTCCACATTTCAACTCCTTATCAGCTTGTGCCAAACTCACATGAATACTAGAAAAGTTTTTATAACCAGAAAATAAAAATAAAAACCACACACCACACTGTCTTTTACTTTTAGAGATTCTGTTAAAATAATAATTATTAATATCCATTTATTATAGTGGGTATACTTGACCTGTCTGGCAAAGCACACTGGGATTACCTATAAAGTTCGACCATGGACAAATTTATGTTTTCTTGCAGACTGCAAAGACCTTACTTATCGGGCTGCAGGGAATATTTCCACTGTAGTAAATTGAGATCACAATGCTCAAGCACCAGTACAGATGGCAGAATATCTAAAGATTACAGCCACAGGGTGTGTGGTACTGGACAAGATGCATAGTGAAAATCCAGGGGACCGCATAGTATTGCACTTAAAGCCTTCAATGTGCTTTTATTTCTGAGATAATCAGAACTGTAAGGTCTGTAAAGGGCTCATTTTCATCTAGAACAGCCAGCCATTCTCAACCAGGGGGTCCTCTAGAGATTGCTAGGGGTTCCTTGAGCAATTTGTACCTCTCAGATTTGTAACCTTTGACACCAATGATCTTAGTTGCTATCTGTAAGAGGACATTCTTGCTGCTAACCACTAATATATGAAGCATTCTTCCCATTGACCACCACACTAATGTACAGTGACTGATCCTATGCATCAATTGTGGGTATAGACTTGGGTATGTGGAGGTTTTCTATTTGTGAATGTTTTGTTTTGCTCTTTTTTTCTTCTCTGGTTGAAAAAAGACACAAGTCCATCTATTTGAACCCACAGACTGACTGTGTTGCTATGTAGGTATAGCAATTATTTTCAGGGGTTTCCAGATTTCCCTGAGACCTGAAAGTTTTTTCAAGGGTCCCTTCATGATACAAAGTTTGAGAAAATCAATTCACATCTAGCAAACATATAAAAATGTCCTGGTTTGAAGTGGTTAAAACAGGCTCCTTGCTGCAGCTGCATCCATGAGCTTGGTATGATTTTTTTTTTTATAGCTGGAGATCAGCTGTAAACTGTGGTAAATGGCCAGGATAGCTAGATACAGAGGAGATCGGGACATCCATTCCCCCATCTCCTCAGGGACTAATGAACCCAGAAGTGACAATGATTTTGTCCCTTTCCGTTTCAGAGTGGTCATCCCCTGGCCAGGGGCAGACTGACCATTTGGGAACTCGGGCACTGCCCGAGGGCCTGGGTTCAGTAGGGTGAATAAAAAAAAAAAGAAAAAAAGAAAAATGTCATCAAAAGTTCACTACTTGAAAAATCGAGAAATGTAAGTGTTTCAGAGAAACAGATTCGTTTAAAAACTGTGATGCCTGTGAAAATGTAGATATTTACAAGTTGTAAGAGATGGCAAGAACATACATTTTACTAACTGCAGGCACATAAATGCATTTCATGCAACTTATACTTGTGTTTTAATTGCCCAGAATTAACTTCTAAAGTCATGCAGACTACAACATCTTACTTTTTTTGATAATGGTTACCTTCGCCATGTATTTCCCAGGACCAGCTTTCTTTTTTTCTTTTTTTTTCTTTAACCAATAGCCTCAGCCTGAGCAATATCTTCTTGTTATGGCACACACACTCGGTGTGTATATTGGTTTTTTATACACACACACTATATTGCCAAAAGTATTGGGACGCCTGCCTTTACACGCACATTAATTTTAATGACATCCCAGTTTTAGTGTGTAGGGTTCAATATTGAGTTGGCCAACCCTTTGCAGCTATAACAGCTTCAACTCTTCTGTGTCTATGGGAATATTTGGCATTTCTTCCAGAAGCAGATTTGTGAGGTCAGGCACTGATGTCAGATGAGAAGGCCTGGCTCACAGTCTCCACTCTAATTCATCCCAAAGGTGTTCTATCGTGTTGAAGTCAGGACTCTGTGCAGGTCAGTCAAATTCCTCCACCCCAAACTTGCTCATCCATGTCTTTATGGACCTTGCTTTGTGCACTGGCACGCAGTCATGTTGGAACAGGAAGGGGCCATCCCCAAACTCTTCCAACAAAGTTGGGAGCATGAAATGGTCCAAAATGTCTTGGTATGCTGACGCCTTAAGAGTTTCCTTCCCTGGAACTAAGGGGCCAAGCTCAACCCCTGAAAAAGAACCCCACATCATAATCCCTCCTCCACCAAACTTTACACTTGGCACAATGCAGTCATGCAAGTACCGTTCTCTTGGTAACCGCCAAACACAGACATGTCCATTGGATTGCCAGACAGAGAAGTGAGATTTGTCACTCCAGAGAACATGTCTCCTCTGCTCTAGAGTCCAGTTGTGGCATGCTTTACACCAGTGCTTCGGACGCCTTGCATTGCACTTGGTGATGTAAGGCTTGGATGCACCTGCTCAGCCATGGAAACTCATTCCATGAGCTTCCTACACACTGTTGTTGTGCTAATCTGAAGGCCACATGAAGTTTGGAGGTCGTTAGCTATTGATTCTGCAGACAAATCAGCGACTTCTGTGCACTCTGCGCTATTTTCGTGGCTGAGTTGCTGTTGTTCCCAGTTGCTTCCACTTTGTTATAATACCACTAACAGTGGACTGTGAAATATTTAGCAGCAAGGAAATTTCACAGATGGACTTATTGCACAGGTGGCAACCTATCACGGTACCACTCTTGAATTCAGTGAGCTCCTGAGAGCGACCCATTCTTTCATAAATGTTTGTAGAAGCAGTCTGCATGCCCAGGTGCTTGATTTTTTACACCTGTGGGCATGGAGGTGACGAACACTTGAATCTAATGGATTTGGAGCGGTGTCCCAATACTTTTTGCAGTACAATATGTGTATATATATATATATATATATATATATATATATATATATATATATATATACATACATACATACACATATACATACACATACATACATACACACACACACACACACACATATATATATACACACACACACACACACACAGTATTTATATAAAATCTAAACAGATATCAAATGGTAACACCTATAATAAAAAAAAGTAAAAGTTAGAATCTCATGCAAAAACTTACTTTAAGCTTGTATCTGTGTATTGCATTGTCACAAGTTGCGATGCATCACCTTTGCCATCTTGCTTCTACACAAGATAAAAAAAAAAAAAAAGTTAGTTCTTGAATTCTATTTAAAGCCCAACTCTGGGAAAAGTGTAATCCTCCCCTGCAATGGTTAAATGTTCTTTTAGATCTAAGGGATGGGAAAAGCAGTTTTATATGTGGCAGTGGAAAACTCCTTGACATCCTTACATCCAGTGAAGGGTTATGGGCCCTGCATTGATCTTGATGACATCAGAGGGCATCCACCCTCTGGAGCATAGGAGATGCTATGGGAACTGATCTTGCTTCATGGAGGAGCCAGTGGAAGTGCAGGATCAGGCAAGTAAATGGTTTTTCATGTTCCCTTAGACCTAAAAGATAGTTTAATCCTTGAAGTTTGGGGGCTGCCTCACTGCAAGGGAGGATATTTACTTTTCCTGGAGTTCAGCTTTAAATCAGGAAATACATTAAGCACAAATACATATATGTTATAATACAAAGAGAGTAACTAAAGAAAGAGAAAAAAAAAATGCATATGTTGTGATGCAGCTTACAGCTCAATATAATTGACCCCTATAGTTTACCATAATTCTAAGAAAGGCAGATGTCTAAATGCAACAAATGTTTTCAATATCCCAAATACCAATCTCATCCATCTTACATTGATTAAGTCACTTCAACAACTAAATTGTGACTCATCCCACAGGCAATATTGCATTAGTAATTTTTGACTGCACAGAAGCGAATACTGAATATTTAACTGCTTCAGCTCCGCCCTATAGCAGAATTACTCCCTGCGCAAAACCATGCATATATATACGTGATTCGCGCTCCTACCGCCATTGCGGTCTAGGGGTGTCGTGATTCGGTGCCCGACCAATCAATCAGCAGATTCAGGCCAGTGATGTTCGGCCTGGATCTGCTGATTGATCCCTGCCTCATCACAGATCTTCTGATGCAATTTTCTCTCCCTGGGCACATTCCGTTCTAGAGAGAGAAGAAAGCAGATCCACATGAGTCAAAAGCAACACACACACAAAGCACATTTAACCCCGATTGTCCTGCAGGTAACCCCTTCACTGCTCTGTCACCAGTGTCATTAGTACAGTGTACATATTTTTTTTTGTTTTACTGATCACTGTATTAGTGTCACCGACGACTTCAGATAGCATTAGCGTCAGTTAGTATCCCTCACAGATAGCGGCGGATTGCCCGCCAAATTTTTATTATGACAGCAACAGGGTCTTGCTCTCAGATTATACATAAGTGTGTACAGTGCTGTTAGATGAGATTTTTCATCTGCAGTTAAAAAAGAGAACATATGCCCAAGCATGGGGGCCTGGGGTGGCCAGAGGGTGGATGGCCCCTATGCTTCAGCATTTATTTTTTTAAAATTTTTTGGCAGGGAGGTCTTCATCCACATTGACTGATGCGAGTAAAGGAATCTATTAGGTTCTTTTTTTTTTTCCATGGCTTTCTCGGGCAGTCTCATAACATCAGGGGAACCTGAGAATGCAGTCGGTGGTTCTTCCAGCTGACCAAAGAGCTGATTGGAGACCGGAATGGAGCCAATCATCTCTATAGTTTAAGAAATCGGAAGCTACAAGCAGTTCATCACTTCAATTTTGCAGGATATTAACAGCGCCATTTGTAAATTGGGAAAGCATCTGATCACACCGATCTTGGTGAAATCAGATGATGTAAGGGCAGAAGAGATATCTAGAGTCTAATAGACCCCAGATTTCTCAGAAAATAATACTTGTCAATGCCTATTGCTGTCACAGGGGATATATAAATTCTCTGTGAGAACAATAAAAGTGTTTTTAAAAAAAAAAAAAAAAAAAAAAATAAAAAGGGACAGTGTAAAAAAAAAAAAAAAAAAAAAAATAATAATAATAAAAAAGTAAGCACCCTCGCCCCCTGCGCGCGCACCTGCATGCGCAAGCGTCAACCCCCTGTCAGTATGTAAACAGTGGCTACACCATGCATGTGAGGTATCATTGCGAACATCAGATTGAGGGCAGTAATTGTAGCACTAGGCGCCCTGTGTAAATCTAAAATGGTAGCCTGTAAAGGCTTTTAAAGAGTCACCTATGGATATTAAAAATGTATGCAGTTTGTCGCCATTGCACAGGGTGCAGATTTAAAGAATGTCATGTTTGGTATCTATTTACTCGACATACCATCATCTTTTATATTTTACCAAACAATTGGCCAATAATGTGTTTTTGTGCATTAAAAGTAAAAAAAGTGAATTTAAAAAAAAAAAAAAAAAAAGTGTGTTTGAAAAATCGCTGTGCCAGTACTATGTGACATACAAAATTGCATCACCCACCATTTTATTCACTAGGGTGTCGGTTGTAAAAATATATATGTTTGGGGTTCAAAATAATAAAAATACGGATTTTTACATGTGAACAAAGTGTCAGAAAAGCCTTGGTCTTCAGGTGGTTAGAACAGTGAGTGCTGTGTGGTATAAACTTCTAATGCTGGGCATAAAATAACCCCCCCCCCCCAAAAAAAAAAAAAAAAAAAAAAAAAGACCCCTTTCTTGAAAGTAAACACTCCAAACGATTTGCCGGAGGCATGTTGAGTCAATAGAAGAATTTACTTTTTACCACAAGTTTTTGGAAAATTAAGGAAAAAGTTTGTCACTTAAATGATTTATTGCGCATACATGCCATGGATATATGTGGAACTACTCCCAAAAATACATTCTGAGTATGGGGATACCACATGTGAGACTTTGTGGCAGTTTAGCCGTGTACAGGATCCCAAAATCCAATAAGCACCTTCAGGCTTTTAAATGGCTTTATTTCCTCATTACACTTCCTGACTACCTGTCACAGTTTCGGAGGCCTTGAAATGCCAGAATAGTACGAAACCCCCCAAATGACGCCTTTTTGGAAAGTAGACACCCCAAGAAACTTGAGAAGTATGGAGAGAATTTTGCAGATCTCGTTTGTTGCACACATTTTTAGAAAATTAAGAAAGAATACAAAAACATTTTCTATTTTCAAAACCTTGTGTGAAAAAAAAAAAAAAAAAAAAAGGAGATCTGCAAAATACTCATTATGCCTCTTTTTAAATTCCTTGGGGTGTCTACTTTCCAAAAAGTGGTCATTGGGGGGGGGGGGGGGTGCTATCCTGGCATTTTAGGTAGTACCTATCACAGAAACTGTGATAGGTAGTCAGGAAGTGAAACGAGGAATTTACGCACCATCAGGCTTTCAAAGGGGTCATTGGATTTCGGGCTCCTGCATGTGGCTAGGCTCCTAAAAAGTCTCACATATGTGGTATCCCCATACTCAGAAGTAGCAGAATATATTTTGGGGTGTAATTCCAAAAAAATAAGCCATGGCTTGTGTGTACAATATACCGTTTAAAAATGACAACTTTATGTAAAAAAAAACAAAACTTTATGTATCTTCAGCAGATAGCTTAGGGTATCTACTTTTCAAAAAAAGGGGTCATTTGGGGGTGTTTGTACTGCCTTGGCATTTTAGTACCTCAAGAAATGTGATAAGCGGTCAGAAAGTAAAAGCTGTATCTATACCATAGTTTGTAAATGCTATAACTTTCACACAAACCAATTAGTCTACACTTATTGGGATTTTTTTGTACCAAAGACATGTAGCAAAATACATTTTAGCCTAAATTTATGGCGAAATTTGAGTTTTAGGATTTTTTTAATAACAGAAAATATTGGGTTTTTTCCAAAATTTTTGGTCTTTTATTTACAGCACAAAAAAATAAAAACCTCAGCGGTGATTAAATACCAAAAAAATAAAGGACATAAATTTAGTTTGAGTACAGCATTGCATGTCCGAGCAATTACTAGATGAAATAGCGCAGCACCGTAATGCAAAAAAAAATGGCCTAGTCAGGAAGTGGGGGTAAATTCTCTGGAAGGCAAGTGATTAAAGTGACAATTAACCACTTCAATACCGGACACTTACCCCCTTCCTGCCCAGGCAAATTTTCAGATTTCAGCACTGTCACACAACACTGTGCCGAAATTAAAATTTGTAACTCTTTTGAGACAGGTAGAGCTTTCTTTTGCTGGTATATAAATCACCACTGGGTTTTTTATTTTTTTGCTATATAAAATAAAAAAAAAAAAAATTTAATTTTGAAAAAAAAAAAAAAAAAACAAGTTTTTGCAAATTCTTTCTTCATACATTTAGGTCTAAATGTATTCTGCTACATTCCTTTGGTAAAAAAAATAACCAGAATCTGTGTATATTATAGAGTCTACAATCTATTGTGTGTTTTATATATATATATATATATATATATATATATATATAAATAAATAAATCTCATTTCTTGAGGCCCTTAAATGTCAGTGCAAATACCTCCCCCCCCCCCCTTTTTGGAAAGTAGGCACCCCAAGGTATTTAGTAAGAGGCATGCTGAGTTTTATTTGAAGCTGTAATTTTTTGGATAATGAAAAAAACAAAAAAAGAATATATATATATTATTTAAAATTTTGTTTACATTTTTGTACATACTGTGACCAGAGTAGTATAGTGTCAAAACAGTGGTGGTGATCAGAATTATTTTTTTTTTTTTTTTTTTTTTTTTTTGCTGTTTATACTTGGATTGCTTATTGATGAGGATGATGACGATTATGACTGCAATAAGCAATCTCTAACACTGTTCAATGGTTTCATTCATGTTTGCATACTACTGTGATGTGCATGAATGGGAGGATGTCATATGATGTCCTCCTGAAATAACAGTGCTCTTGCCCGTATGTTTTTTTTTTTTACAATAGGCCACGCGGGAGATTGTTAAACTCAAAGGTTTGACTTCAGAATGTAAATAAAATGGAGAACGTGGACCATGGGAAAAAAAAAAAGAAGTTTGTTGCTGGTGGTAAGATGATAGACAGTCGAGTATTCTAAAGCAAAAAAAAGCAAAAAAAAAAAAAAAACACAGCAACTCTAGACAAAGAACAGAGATAAAACAACAGTTGGGGAGAATGCCAGATAGCTTTGAAGAGGGGGGTTACTGAGCCTGGGCAGAGGATGGGTTTTTTTTCAAAGGAAAAGCATGGCCAAAACATTATTTGTGCACTCCTGTGACCCAGTCATTTTATAGCGGAATATAATAACTGAATAATGATAATATTTATGAATATTCAAATAATAAAATAAAATAATTGAAATCCTTGTAAGTTCTTTCCATATAACTTTAGGAAGGACACAAACCCAGTATATAGGTCTAATCTATGTATGCACCTATGTGTTCTCCATGCATGTACATGCATCTATATAATCTCTACCTAGGCCCTTTCATTCATCATTGTAGCCAGTTTTGATCTCTGCTGATGTACCCATTTAATGATCAAACATTCTGATCTTGTTGTTAAACAATGCTCACAAGAAATGCCTACGATTCTACTTGCAGGTATTGATAATAAAAATTAGTGTAGGGTAGTGTCTACCCTTGTATCTTCTGACAGCAAACAATTACCCATTTGATCTATTACAGCAGATTTTTCCCTCCCTTTTACTAAATTTTACATCAGCGTGCATTACTTTAACATAAGGTTTGGATCTTGTGAAGCTACAGTTTGCATTTGCCTTTTGAATAGAACTAGCAGAGGGAATTCTATTCCATCAGATCTGAGGTTTTTCCTTTTAATGTGTACATGTAGGTGCAGCTGTTACCAAATTGCTGTCTGTGCATGTACAGTTGTGTTCAAAATAATAGCAGTCAGACATCACTAACCTGATCAATCACTGTTTTTGGTAGAAATGATATTTCTACATGGCAAATAATTTACTAGCAGGTGTAGTAGAGTAATAGAAATCCAACAGACCCAACAGTTATGACATGCATGCTGCTGATTCTGTGTAATTGAATCACTCATTGAAAGGGGCATGTTCAAAATAATAGCAGTGTGGAGTTCTATTAGTGAGGTCATTCATTCTTTGAAAAACAGGTGGCAATTATTGCCCTTATTTAAGGAAGGAAGGAAGGCAGCAAATGTTGTACATGCTGGTTACAGTGCATTTCTCTCTGAAATTCTGAGGAAAATGGGTCGTTCCAGACATTGTTCAGAAGAACAGCGTACCTTGATTAAAAAGTTGATTGGAGAGGGGAAAACATATAAAAAGAAGTGCAGAAAATGATAGGCTGCTCAGCTAAAATGATCACAAATGCTTTAAAATGGCAACCAAAACCTGAAAGACTTGGAAGAAAGCGAAAAACTACCATTCAAATGGATAGAAGAATAGCCAAAATGGCAAGGACTCAGCCAACAATCAGGAAGATCAAAGAAGGTATAAAGTTACCTGTGAGTACTGTTACAATTAGAAGACGCCTATGTGAAGCCAAGCTATCTGCAAGAAGCCCTTAGAAACAGTGCTTATACAACTAAATATTAAGTGATTCAAAGGAAAGGAAAATCTTCAAACATTTTTCAGTTTATATAGTGAATGTTTGAGTTTGTAAAGAAGAATACAAACACTGCTATTTTTTTGAACAGTCTAATATTCACTTTTCTTCAATGTTTTTTAGAGTAACAACACAAATTTTATATATTTTTCTTCATGCTTTGATTTGGAATAGAATGTGTAGTGTTCCCAATGCATTTGTGTGTATGGAAATAAAAGCTATTAGAAGGATTTTGAGCTTTATTCACTTTTTTCAACACACTGCTATTATTTTGAACACAACTGTATATCCACATGTATAAATACTGTATACTTCTAATCATAAAATAGCCCATAACTGACAACACACATCACTCTAAAAAAGCACTTCTATATATTGTCAAAGCTTCTTCTTTGTATGCTGGGGCAATTCCACACACATTAGAAAGTCTTTGTGGCCATAAGCTGAATGCTCCCCTTTCAGTGAAAAAAAAAAAAAAAAAAAAAGTACAGCATCTACCATGTGTCAATGCAGTGTTGTAATGTGGTGGAATGAGTGAACAAAAATAAATGCATTTTAGACTACAGAGTTACACTACTGAGCAATAGTTTAAGTCAGGTGTGAAAAAAATGCCGTAAATTAAGAATACTTTCAGAAATAGAAGTGTTAATAGTTTATCAATTAACAAAATGGAAAGCAAAATGAACAGAAATCCAAATCAAAATGTGGTGTGACCACCCTTTGCCTTTAAAACAGCATCAATTCGTTTAGGTACATTTGCACACAGTTTTAGAACTCAGCAGGTAGGTTGTTCCAGACATCTTGAAGAACTAATCACAGATCTTCTGTGGATGAAGGCTGCCTCAAATTCTTCTGTCTCTTCATGCACTCCCAGACAGACTCAATGGATGTGGAGGTCAGAGCTCTGTGGGGCCAAACCATCACTTCCAGGACTCCTTGTTCTTTACACTGCAGATGGTTCTTAATGGCATTGGCTGAATGTTTGGCCCAAAATGTATTCTGTAGCAGGACAACAACCCCAATCACATGCCTCCCTGATGGTATGGCATGATGGATAAGTATCTGCATACATTTCTCAGCATTGAGGACACCAGTGATTCAGAGCAAAACTCCATTTGGAGAAATACAGCCTCAAACTTGCAAGGAACCTCCACCATCCTTCACTGTTGCCTGCAGACACTCATTATTGTACCATCTCTCAGGCCTTCAGTGAACAAACTGCCTCATGCTACAGCCAAATATTTAAAATGTTAACTCATCAGTCAGGAGCACCTGCTGCCAATTTTTCTTCACCCCAGTTCCTATGTTTTCATGCATAGTTGAGTCACGTAGCTTTGTTTCCACATCGGAAGTATGGCTTTTTGGACACACGTCTTCCATGAAGACCACTTCTGGTCAGACTTCTCCAGACAGTAGATGGGTGTACCTGGGTCCCACTGGTTTCTACCAGTTCTATGCTGATGACACTGCTGGGCATCTTCTGATGTCAAAGGGAAGTAAGCATTATATTTCTTTCATCTGTTGTATTAAGTTTCCTTGGCCGGCCACTGCGTCTACGGTTCTCAATGTTGCCTGTTTGTGCTTCTTCAAAAGAACTTGAACAGCGCATCTTGAAACCCCAGTCTACTTTGAAATCTTTGCTTGGGAGAGAGAGAGACCTTGCTGATGCAGTATAACCATGTTGTGTCTTGTTGCTGTGCTCAGTTTTGCCATTGTGCAGAACCTGTAACATGAAATGATCTTCCACAACCTCACCTTAGTAGCAGAGTTTGGCTGTTCCTTGCCCATTTTTAAGCCTCCTACACAGCTGTTTCTGTTAATGACTGTGTTTCAACCTACATATGACACTGATGATCATTAGCACTGCTCGGTATGAATGGTTAATTATACACCTGACTCTAATCCTAAAAAATACATGACTTTCAAGTGTACAAAGTGCATGAATTGATGCTAGTTTGAAGCCAAAGGGTAGTCACACCAAGTACTGATTTGATTTAGATTTTTCTTCTCTTTGCTCACTTTGCAAATTGATAAAAATAAACAAATTAAAATATATTTTTTTAAAGCATTCTTACTTTACAGCATTTCTTCACACCTGCCTAAAAAACTCTTGCACCATACTGTATATGTTTATAGCAGTGAAAGGGATTGCCACCAAACATCCGCTGTAGGCGTATCTTTCTGATGCATGTGATTTAAATTGATCGGACTAATTAACCTACATGGAATGTTTGGCGAATGCTGTATTACCTTCTTTTTTTAAAATTCCTCTAAAACAGAAAATTTCTCACCTGTGTTGCTTGAGCTTTATGGGTACTGATTGTCCGCCTAGTCTTTGTTCTCTCCGCTTCATGTCTGTGGACCCAGCCTCGAAGCTCTTGGTTTAACCTGTTTATTATCAAAATAAAAACTTCATTATTTAAAAATAGATTCTACCTAATGCTTTATTATTAAAGACCAGGGCTTCCAGGCATAGCACACAGCTACCATGTGAAAATATACATACATTGTGATACAGAAAAGGTACTAAACCATGAGACAATAGCATATTTAATCCATGAATCCCCTAACAATAGGCAGAGAAAGTTGCAAGATGAAGGCATTCCAGTCCTATATAATAATATATATATATATATATATATATATATATATATATATATATATACATACATACATACACATACATACATATACATACAGTGGGGCAAAAAAGTATTTAGTCAGCCACCAATTGTGCAAGTTCTCCCACTTAAAAAGATGAGAGAGGCCTGTAATTGTAGACCTCAACTATGAGAGACAAAATGAGAAAAAAAAATCCAGACAATCACATTGGCTGATTTGGAAAGAATTTATTTGCAAATTATGGTGGAAAATAAGTATTTGGTCAATATCAAAAGTTCATCTCAATACTTTGTTATATATCCTTTGTTGGCAGTGACAGAGGTCAAACGTTTCCTGTAAGTCTTCACAAGGTTGGCACACACTGTTGCTGGTATGTTGGCCCATTCCTCCATGCAGATCTTCTCTAGAGCAGTGATGTTTTGGGGCTGTCGCTGGGCAACACGGACTTTCAACTCCCTCCAAAGGTTTTCTATGGGGTGGAGATATGGAGACTGGCTAGGCCACTCCAGGACCTTGAAATGCTTCTTACGAAGCCACTCCTTCGTTGCCCGGGCGGTATGTTTGGGATCATTGTCATGTTGGGAGACCCAGCCACGTTTCATCTTCAATGCCCTTGCTGATGGAAGGAGGTTTGCAGTCAAAATCTCACGATAAATGGCCCCATTCGTTCTGTCCTGTACATGGATCAATCGTCCTGGTCCCTTTGCCGAGAAACAGCCCCAAAGCATGATGTTGCCACCCCCATGCTTCACAGTAGGTATGGTGTTCTTTGGATGCAACTCGCATTCTCTCTCCTCCAAACACGACGAATTGTGTTTCTACCAAACCGTTCTATTTTGGTTTCATCTGACCATATGACATTCTCCCAATCCTCTTCTGGATCATCCAAATGCTCTCTAGCAAACTTCAGACGGGCCTGGACATATACTGGCTTAAGCAGGGGGACACGTCTGGCACTGCAGGATCTGAGTCCCTGGCGGCGTAGTGTGTTACTGATGGTAGCCTTTGTTACGTTGGTCCCAGCTCTCTGCAGGTCATTCACTAGGTCCCCTCGTGTGGTCCTGGGATTTTTGCTCACTGTTCTTGTGATCATTTTGACCCCACGGGGTGAGATCTTGTGTGGAGCCCCAGATCGAGGGAGATTATCAGTGGTCTTGTATGTCTTCCATTTTCTAATTATTGCTCCCACAGTTGATATGTTCACACCAAGCTGCTTGCCTATTGCAGATTCAGTCTTCCCAACCTGGTGCAGGTCTACAATTTTGTTTCTGGTGTCCTTCGACAGCTCTTTGGTCTTCACCATAGTGGAGTTTGGAATGTGACTGTTTGAGGTTGTGGACAGGTGTCTTTTATACTGATAACAAGTTCAAACAGGTGCCATTGATACAGGTAATGAGTGCAGGACAGAAGAGCCCCTTAAAGAAGAAGGTACAGGTCTGTGAGAGCCAGAAATCTTGCTTGTTTGTAGGTGACCAAATACTTATTTTCCACCATAATTTGCAAATAAATTCTTTCCAAATCAGCCAATGTGATTGTCTGGATTTTTTTTCTCATTTTGTCTCTCATAGTTGAGGTCTACCTATGATGCCAATTACAGGCCTCTCTCATCTTTTTAAGTGGGAGAACTTGCACAATTGGTGGATGACTAAATACTTTTCTGCCCCACTGTGTGTATATATATATATATATATATATATATATATATATATATATTTTTTTTTTTTTTTTTTTAAACTCCATATTTTCTAGTTCAGATGGTGATTTTCAACAGTATAATCAAAGGATGTCCAACAAAAAAAAAATGGACAGAAGGATTTGCAGAAGTAGAAAAAGGAGGCGATAGGAAGGGGAATGTGTAAGAGAAGATGTAGTGGGTATGTAGAAGAGAGGGATGGAGAAAAAAAAAGGGAAATCTCCCTAAAATGCTACCTCACATCTTATAGCAAGAATAGCATTTAACCACTTGCCTACAGGGCACTTTCACCCCCTTCCTGCCCAGGCCAATTTTCAGCGTTCAGTGCTGTTGCACTTTGAATGACAATTGTAAGGTCATGCAACACTGTACCCAAGCTACATTTTTATAACTGGAGACAAAAAGAGCTTTCTTTTGGTCATATTTAATCACCACTGGGGTTTTTATTTTCAATAAACAAAGACAAAAAATTTTTAATAAAAAAAAGTTTGTTTCTGTTCTAAAGTTTTGTAAATAAGTGATTTTTCTTCTTCACCGATGTGCACTGATGTGACTGCACTGATGGGCATCACTGAGGAGGCACTGAGCGACAGCACAGATGGAGCAACATTGATCATCAGTGTAGATGCCCACCTGAGAAATGACGCTTACCGGCTTTCCTCACGCGCTGTCAAATATAACCTGCATTTCCTATTTACACTGTGATCAGCTGTGATTGGACACAGATGGTCACATGGTAAAATGCGGCTCCGGTTGCCCTTTTACTTGGACATGTGATCAACTGTGTCAGAAGGACCCCATGGGGGTGTACGAGAGTGTGGTTCTGGCAGAACGTTCACGGACGCCCTTTCCAGAACTAGCTGACCACACTGTAGCTGTCTTTGGACTATAGCGTGGTCGGGAAGTGGTTAATTACAACAGGAACCAGTTTGTAGGTAGGGCTTAGAGTTAAGTTATATTTGTTATATTTACAAAGTTTGCATTTCTCTTAGAAAAAAAAAAAAGAATATTTGGGAATGTTCAAATTAACTTCTGTAAACTGGAAGTTTTTGAAGGTTTTTAGTACGATGTCTACAGGCTCAGTAGCCCACCAGCTACTCCATAACTTGGAAATCTTGAACATATACTGAATCTTTGTGAAAGTAGACACATCTTCCTGTAAGTCTGTCAAGCATGGCTTTCTCAACAGAAGTGTTTATAAATGCCAGTAATGACAACTAAATTCCCTAAGCAAACTAAAAGGGCCACATGTTAGCCGGCATTTGTATATATTCACTGATTCTTGTTATATCAATATTAAACAATTGCATGATATTAATTCCTGAACAATCAGTCCTTCTTTGCAGTAACACTAGTGGGCTTATTCAAAAGCAGTACTATAAAGTTATTTTACTAGAAAGGGACTAACAGTTTATCCAAATAGATACAGAGAAAGGCAACATCTGATAATGTTTCAATCTCTTTTTGAGGCTTCATGGATGTTTTGGTGTTTACACAAGGGACATTACAATGAAGGGAATATGCGTGAAGTGTTTTACCTCAAATATATAATTTATTTTCATTCAGTTCATATGCCAAATATATTAAGGTGCAAAATTCTTCTGTCCCCTAGTTAAAATAAAACTGATTAAAGAGATCATTAGAGGCAGACAACTGAACATAGTCAGGCTTGACTACAGCCTGCCAGGCTCAAAATAATTCTCACTGTCCATCTGTGAATACCAGGGCAGCATTCTCATAAAAATCTGTTGATAGCTATCAGTCTGGAAAGAACTACAAAGTCATTTTTAAGACTTTGGGACTCCAAAACCTCCACAATAAAAACATTTATGAATGGAAATCATTTGTAACAGTAGCCAATCTTCCCCACAGTGGCCAAGCCTGCCAATATTTCTCTCTAAGAGGACAGTGATAACATTAACTAAGTCAAAAAACATACGAAAAACATCTCAAGTACTGCAGGGTTGTTAATTCAGCAGAGGCCATTGCTGCTGACTCAAGGAAAATAAGATTTGCTGGAAAGCAGCACCAAAACCATTGCTAAACAAGGAGTAAATAAATGCTGGTCTCTCAGTAGCTAGGAAGCATAAGAATAGTCTGAAAGTCCTGTGAGAGATTGTTCTAAAACTAGATGAGACAAACATGGACCTTTCTTCTCTGCATGGGCAAAACAGTGGCTTGTGTTTGGCCAATTAGAAGCCTAGGCATTTGGTTTAGTCATCAAGACAATGATTCAACACAGAAAAGTAAGCCTACATTAGAATTTTTAGGGAAAAATTGACTTGTTTTACATTTTGGAATGATACTGCCAAATGCCAAGCTTAAACCCAAAACAGATGACGTGCCAAATACTGAAATAAGGATTTCATGCTCATAAGATGCCTAGAACTGAATTAAAAACAGTTCTGCAAGGAAAAATGGGTGAAAAACTCAAGACAGAGGTAAAAGACACACTGTTGTGTTAAGTGTCTGGTACAGTCAGAACAGCCAGAAATAACAATTACTTTTTTTATGCACACAATGTCAGATGCAGTCACAGCACTTGTCTCTCATTATGAAAACACTGAGCTGCAAAGGTCTCGAGTGGAACTGCGTCAAAGGAGGCTACCATGAGGCCCTGAACCTTAAAGCATTAGTGAGACGAGAAATGCCTTGTTGACCTGAGAGTTCGACAACTGGACCTCAGAGAAGGAATCTTTTCCAAACGGAAGGAAATTTTGGCCTGGGTCATGCCTAAGATTAGCCAAAAATATTCCAGACGATGAGAGAGCTAGAGGGCAGTCTTCTTGAAGTTGATCACCCATCAAGACGTTTGAGGGAAATGGATTGTCCCTTGAAGGCTGGAAAAAAAAAAAAAAAAACACACCATGGCTGATGAATTTTTGCCAGGCACCCTGTGATATGTATGCGCTGAGATCTTAGCAGGGCTAGGAGTACTTTTGTCAAGATTCTAGGTGCAAAGGAGAGCCCGAATGGTAGGATGACAAGCTGAAAATGTTGGTCTCTCACAGCAAAGCGTAGAAAGCATTGGTGTGCGCAAAGGATAGGAAAGCAAATAAATGCATCTTGGGTG